AATTTGTCCAGCTTTTGGTCCACACGCTTTGCGAGAAGGGCCTCATTAGGGTTTAGGGTTTAGGGTTTAGGGTTTGGGGTTTGTGGGCTTGCATGCGGGCCTTTGCAGCGATTTATAATATTGAGTTTGAAATAATAAATTGCCAATTATTTATTTAAATGAAAATAAAATAATTTATTATTTTGTAAATCTCAATGTACAGTTTATGTCGAAAATAATAAATAAATAAACAAATAAATAAATAAATAAATAAATAAATAAATAAATAAATAAATAATAAATAATAAATAAATAAATAAAACGCTGCAATTAAATGAAATTGAAATTAAAAAATGAAAGCACCAAATGCAAAGTTGTGCATACACTCCGGGGGTGTACGTACACCCGAAATGGAGGTCTTTTTAATTCTTCGAATTTAAAAATTAAAAACCCCAAAAGTATTTAAAAGTTATTTTTTATTCTTTTATTTGCTTTTCTTTTATTTCTAAAAAGCAAATTGCTTTTTTAAAACCAATTTGTTTTAATTTCCTTCTTATTTGCTTCCACTTTAATTCGCCCGAAAACGCCATCTAGGGTTTAGGGTTTAGGGTTTAGATGCAGGGGCGTAGGGTTTGGGGTGCGGGCTTTGGAGTTTAGATCTGGTTAGAGCTAGGGTTTAGGGTTTAGGGTTTAGGGTTTAGGGTTTGGGGTTTGACTATGCGTAGGGCTACAGTTAGGGCTTCAGTAGAGTCAGGGTTTAGACCTTTAGAATTTGGGGTTTGGTGCAGAGTGGAGATCTTAAAGGCCCATTCCTACAGATCGAAATTTAGGGTTTAGAATTGAATTCCAGTTCTCGAAAGCGAGTTCTAGGGTTTAGGGTTTAGGGTTTAGGGTTTAGGGTTTACACGTGAAGCACCCGTTTGGCGGGGGCGCCGCTGTCCGCCCGCGATCTTTGTCCAGAAATGAATAAATGAACAAATTGGAGAAGTTCAGAAGAATTAAAAGTCAATTAAAATGAAATAAAAGAAATTAAATGGAAATAAAAGTGCAGATCGTCCTTGCGCAGCGCAGCTGCTTTGGGGCCCGGGCTGGGGTGTCTGTACACCTCAGGTGTGTGGCGGCTGCGGCCGCCGGCGCGATCTTCGGCTCCAGCGGCTCATTTTCGGCGCCAAAAACGCAAATTGAGGAAATAAATGAAAACAGAATTCAATTTTTGATTCATTTTGTTGTTTAGAGGGTCGGAAAGGCTTCGGAAGTGGCTTGCTGAGTGCCGCGGAGCCGGGAGAGCGCGCGGCGGTTCGCGCGGGTTTTGCAATTTTCTGGTTTTTTCGGGTTTTTTTCGCTTTTTTTCCGTTTTTTTCGCTTTTATTTGTTCTTTTATTCTTTTCCTGCGTTTATTTTGCGCCAATTTCCTCCTTTTCGAACTCCGAGAGCCAAAATGAGCCCCCCAAAGCCCCTCATCGCTCCCTCAGTGCTCGCCAGTGACCTCTCGCGACTCACCGACGAGGCCCAGAAGATGGTCGACGAAGGCTGCGACTGGCTCCACCTCGACGTCATGGTCCAAACCCTAAACCCTAAACCCTAAACCCTAATCCCTAAACCCTAAACCCTAAACCTTAAACCCTGGCCTTCTCGCCAAACCTAGAGCTTTAACCCTCGACCTTAAACCCTTAACCCTAAACCCTAAACCCTACACTCCAAACCCTGTAAACCCTAAACCCTAAACCCTAAACCCTAAACCCTAAACCCTAAACCCTAAACCCTAGATACCAGAAGCTGTGGCGGAAATCCTCAGGCCGAAGCAGTGAATCGGAAACCCTAGACGCCAAACCCCAAACCCTAAACCCTAAACCCTAAACCCTAGTTTGTGTGTTTGTTCCGTTGCCTGCAGGACGGGTACATTCTTTGTTCAGCAGCAGCAGCTTCTTCTACGCAGCAGCAGAGAATTAAGGGTTTAGGGTTTAGGGTTTAGGGTTTAGGGTTTAGGGTGTGGAATTGCACGCAAGAAAAGGAGCTTTTGAAGCTCCCCAATTCCCTTTAATTCAAAACCACTTCTAACCGCTCAAGAAAACCCCAAACTGCTGCTGCTGCTGCTGCTGCTGCTAGTTCTGCTGCTGCTGCTGCTGCTGCTGCTGCTGCTTGCTGCAGCTGCTGCAGCCTCTAGAATGCGCTTTCCGCTTTCGCTGCTGCTGCTGCTGCTGCAGCTGCTGCTATATCCGCTGCAGCGCCGCGCGTTTCGCACTTGCCGCCCCTGCATTTGCTGCTGCTGCTGCTGCTGCTGCTGCTGCTGCTGCTGCTGCTG